GAATGAGATTGCATATTTTCGGGTAAACCTGAATTTGCATCAAAATTCGTACTCTAAGCTTCATTTCATCTTTTTAAATTTCTTTTTTCAGTGTCATCGGCACTGTTTCTGGCTGTGTGTTTTACACCTACACTATTTTATTTATATCTCTAACAGTGCAGAGGGAAAGAAAATGAAACCATCATGGCAAAAGAGAAATGCAACAGAGACTAATCTCTCTCATAGCTTTGGGTTTTAAGTATAAGGTTGTACACAACAGGACTGTTTATTTTCCCATATATAATACAATTTCATCAAGAGAACTTCTATTGATGTTGACAGCTGTTTTTAAGTAAATAAGATCAGCATTTTGAATGTTGAGACTATTTGCCTCTCTGTGATTAGTACGTCAAAAAAAACCTCCCTAATCATCAACACCTGAATGAACAATCTACTAATATGGTTATTACCTTTTCCAAAGCACAAACATAAACCTTTTATTCATCTGCCCCCACACTTTATGCACACACTAATAAAATCACTGACCTCCTTTCCATTCTTCCAGGGATTTGGTCCATAGATGATGAAAATCGTACCCAGAAAAGGAGAAATAAAAATCTAAAAATTGCACTGCTTTCCATTGAGAAATAAATCAGACCTTCCAGACCCAGCACATCTGTTCATGTGTAGCAAAGAAACAAGAGCCAGTATTTTCAGCAGCCAGAGATAGACAGCCAAGCCAACCAATAGGAAGCAGTGCTCAGTACCATCTGAGCTGTCATGTAGTCTCTATGCAAAATAAGAGGCTGTCTTGGAAATTTTCTACTGAACGTGCAGTCACCTTCCTTTTGTGCTTTAAAATTCACACCAAAGGATTAGATACAGTTGAATACTTGAAAAACAACTAAGACCACAGATAGCTTTTAACAGAAATCTATTTTAATGCTAAAATAGCTGTCTACATTAAGGCTACATGACAGCAGCACGATGCTCATTCTTGGATGCACGGAATTAAAATATAAGTTATGGGATCACTGGATTGTTTCTTTAGCTATATATATATATATTTCTACATTGGAGATTATCAGGAAGAAAATTTTCATAAAAGTGAGTTTTTAAAAATGAATACAAACTATTGGGTATTTGTCTTGCACAAAACAACTGAATAGTAAGGTGTTCGGAAAGGGCCAGTAGAAAGATTATTTCTATATTCTCTTCATGGACTAGGGCAGCTGGCACTTACATAGCTTCACTTTCACTTTCCATGGTCTATCTGCATCCCTGACTAGCAAACAAAAGCTTTCTACGGTCTCCTGTTAAAATCTATCCATTCGCATCACCTATGAGCAAAATGGACAATATATCTGGGCTTGCCAAGATGATAAAATCAACAAGTCTCTCTTTCTCTCTCTCTTCCTCCCTCCCTTCCTCTCTCTTTCTCGGATATGGCCATCTAACAATTTACATTATTAATTAGTAAATATTTGGATGGGATTCAGAAAATACCATACGAAAAATGGTACTTGTTTCAGTTAATGTTTCTGCCTGACCGTGTGAATGGCCATGGAAACCAATCAAATTTAAACTTTAAAAAACCCCATTATTTGTAAGTCTTACAAAATCACAGATGAGAAAAACAAATAATATATTAGTGTATGATGACAAACCACCTTAAAAAGAAAATACACTTAAAAAAAAAAGAAAATATAGTAAAACTATTAATCCTGTGTTTCCAGACATTTATGGAAATAAACCTGCCTTGTTCAAGGAAATTTGCGGCTGTGCCAGATGTTGGTTTTCATGTTTTCTTGTGCATCTGCATTTTGAAGCACTAAAGACATATTTTGCCTTTGTAACACAGTAAGATAAAACTTTATGAAATCTTAATTTTATCTGCCACAGCTCCAATGATTTCCATCATCCCTCTGCTGATTTATTCTGCATTCATAGAACACCAACATCGAGATATTAAAAAGGCTGCCTTCATTACTATTTTGACACAATGAGGATTGGATGATTTGAGAATACTTCTAAATTACTACTGTCATCAGACATCAAATTCAATTGAAGATTTTATATTTTAAAAATTGACAAAACTTTTGAAGGCTTTATAGGCTGTGTTCAAGACTTTGGAAGGCACATATGACCCCAGGACAGTTCATTGTGGTTTAATACGGTAATTTAATCTGAGTTGAGATAGGCAATTACCCTTTAAGCATGCTAAATAAATAATAACCCTTCAGGCGAACAGATCCTAAACTATTTGGGCAGCCAAAGACAATAGTTTGAACTAATGCCAGAAAATACCTGGCAAGTTGTTTCAGAAACAGGAATGCTTGTGACCCAAAATGCAGACACTTACAAGTTTAAACTACTCTAAACTTCAGAGCACCTGTTATCATATTTTTCCTTTTAAAATTTTACTGCCAACTGAATATAAAGAAAATGCCATATAATGCTCTGAGTCATTATAGCAAATATGGAGAGGGGAGGGGGGAGGAGAGATTTGCTCAATTTCTCCAGCTAAAACACTGTAGATCTGAGAACTAAAACACAGCATATTCAGTTGTAATAGGAAGATGTGGCCTGGCGACTGGAACAGATCATAAACTATTCATATGCAAATTCCAAATTAAGTTAGAATGGAAATAAAAGCCAAATACTTTCCATGAGATACTGATTATGAGCATACAAGATGAATGTGAAAACAGATTGTGAAAGACCAAGAAATAAAAGAAAGCACTTTGGATGTCAGAACAGATGGTGGAAATTGTACAAAAGGGAAGAGAAGCCAAAGCCAAAAAAAGTAACATGACAAAAAAATTCAGATTGTTAGAATAAACAAGAAATAACATATATCACTGAGGACAGAAACAGACTTGGGAAAAACAGGAAGTCTTCCAAAAGATTTAGATCAGCAGAGTTGTCATTCCCAAATTAGAAAACTACAGGAATGGAATGTCTACAAAAATGTGGCAAAAGAGAACAAAAAAGAACTAGCAAAACTTCTAGCTGTTTTGATCTATTGGGCACTGTCATTCTCTATTCTGTTGCAATAGTGTAGCTAGAAAAGGTTCTAGCTAGACTATGGCAACAGAATAGAGCAGTGATGGTGAACCTTTTTCTTGTGGTGTGGCAAAAGCATGCACGTGCTGGCACCTACAATGCAATGAGCCCCGTCCCTCTGCGCATGTGTGTGCAACACTACCGCCCCGCCCTTTACCTGCACTGTGCATGCATGTGCCTCCCAGCTGATTTTCGGCCCAGGGGAGGCCATTTTCACTCTCCTGGAGGCTCAACGAAAGCCTCTGCAGCCTCAGGAGGCCGAAAAATGGCCCTTTCAGAAATACCAGAAGTGCCCGTTTTCAGCCTCCAGATGGCCTCTGAAGCCCGGGGAAGGCTGTTTTCGCCCTCCTGGAGGCTCGAGGGAAGCCTCTGGAAGCTGAAAAACAGGCCTATTTTGGCACTTCCAGTATTTCCGGAAGGCCCATTTTTCAGCCTACTGAGGCTGCAGGGGCTTCCCTGGAGCTTCCATGGGGGGAAAAACCAGCCTGAAACGAGGCGAAAATCAGCTGGAAGGTGCGTGCATGCACAGTGCAGGTAAGTTTGGCTGGGGCTCACATGCCCGCACAAATGGCTCTGTGTGCCACTTGTGGCACATGTGCCAGAGGTTTGCCATCACGGGAATAAAGAATGACAGTGACTAATAGGTCGAAAGAGATCAATAGGAAATAAGGAAGGAAGGAAGGAAGGAAGGAAGGGAGGGAGGGAGGGAGGGAGGGAGGGAGGAATTACCTGTGGTGAAATGTAGCCTGGACTCCCAGAACCTGCATTCTAGAGAAGCAAGAATCAGCTAAGTTTAGATAATTTGTTTGGGAGAATCAAGATAGCTCCTCTATAGAAGTCCTCAGACTTTATCTTTAATTATTCCAAGTAGTTATTTTAATTTGGCAAGATTTCTTGTCTATAGGTGAGGAAAAATAATGGAAACTACTTAGATGGAACTCTACATGCCTTTCTTGGTTTTTGGAGTCTGACACTATCATACGATATCCTTAATTTCACATACTAGCAAAATAATATTTAGGATCCTCCAACATTGACTGGACCCTACATGAGAAGAGATACCAGATATTCAAGTGCTTTTAGAAAAGGCCAAGGAACAAGACACATTTTTGCTGATGCAAGTTGGATAAGTGAGAAAGCGAAATAATACTAAAAGAAAGTCAATATATGCTTTATTGATTTTAAGAAAGGCCTTTAATTGTGTTGAGTCAAGCTGTGGAACTTCCTTAGGAAAATAGGAATCCCAAAACATCTTGTACAAAACCCATCTACAAGAGAGGAACTTACAGTATAGATATATGACAAAATAGCTTGGTTACAGGCTTGGCCAGTCAATCTCTCTTACCCCAACATCTTACAGAATTGTTGAGTGGAGAAAATAGGAGGAAGGAGTATCAGATATATTTGCCACCTTGCAATATAAAAATAATAGACATGGGATTTAAAAAAATCTAAAATAACAAAAAAATTAAGGCAAGGCAATCTTCAACTATGACCATTTTGAAGTTTGAATGGCACTTACTGGTCATAGGCTGCCAATTTTCCTTTAAATTCTAATTTTGAATAATTAATTCAAATAGTTATTAGACTAATAATTAGTCTTTTGCCTAATATTTTAAATTCATTTTTTTGCTCACATTTTTTGCAAATGGGCTCCAGAAGCACCAGAATCTGCTATGGAAAGTTTAAAATAGACGTTTTATTTACTTAAATAGTTTATTCTGTTTACCTTTGCTTGTCCCTTGTTACATTACTACATCAAAGAAAATATAGTTTGCCTAGCAGTCTTTAGTATTACAAAATAAACTTTAGAATTTTCATTTTCTTGATTTAAAATAGACCGCTTTACAACAGAAGTTGTACTCAGATTGATGCAAACTAATGAAAATCTCTTAAACTCAGCAGAATCTTCTTACAAGCAAAGTAATTCTGGGATATTATGTAAGAATTGAGTCAAAAGCATCATGAAAAATTTATAGACACACATTCTGGGCCATTTTATGAAAGACTCATCAGGGAAACCTTATTAAAGTAAAAATGTTTATTAGATCCATTCACAGCAACACAGGAATTATGATCTGGGTCTCTCCTTCTTGCCTTTGTACAAGGCTAGTAGAGAAACATTGGCTACTTTGACAACTTTGAAGCGAACTCCAGGAATGTCTCCAACAGCATGACCCTTCCGACCGAAGCCAGCAACCAGGACTTCATCATTCTCCTAGTTTAAAATGAGACAACAATTAACGTTTGATGACCAAAGCATGATCATACTTTTACAATTTTTGGTTCCAAGAAAAAATGATTTGGTTTTATTCAATTAATATTTTTTCCCTTCAATTAGGTGCCATATTATATCTATCAATGTATTTACCTCAATAAAATTCAAACAGCCATCATTGGGAACAAAAGCTGTAATCTTCTTGCCATTCTTGATAAGCTGAACTCGAACACACTTCCTAATGGCAGAATTCGGCTGTTTAGCCTCTACACCACTGAAACATGAAATGAACAATAAAGATGCTGTTATAATACATTTCTAAAGTACAATAATAATGCTTAGCAACTAATTATACAATCTTCATGTTCTGAATTCATAATCTTAAGATCTTAAAACCATATGATATTGGGGATTGTCTTCTCATGTGCAGATGACAATCAAAACTAAAGCACAATTTATAGCTTGTCCTGTTTAAGTAGGACCACAGCAAAATCCAAGCATCACTCGATCTCTTTACTATTTTCTGTGGATCTTACTCCAAATAAGTGTGCATAAAGCTGAAATGTTAATTTCACCTGTTCTAAGAAAAAAAATATTTACAATTATATAAGTGATACCATAGATAAAGCAAAAGTTGTATGCCACCTACTTGAAAACAAAACCCATGTAACTCAACAAGACAAACTGGAGTCTCTGTGACTTCCATGGGGCTCGATTCTAAGTATCCTTAGGGAAATAACTGCCTGCTATTTCCTATAGAAAGAAAAACAAAAGAAACCTAACACTTAAAAAGATGCAAAAGACGGATTAAGGCTGGTTCTAAATAGACCAGTGTCCTCAGAGAATGGTCTGGGAAGCCTGAGAGGTCTTCTAGACCAGGGGTGTCAAACTCCCATTGTCAGAGCGGAGTCATGTGTCGTATCGGGAATTTTTTTCCCCTTTGCTAAACTGGGCGGGGCCAGCACATGACACATACTTTAGTATGTCAACAAAGTCAAATGTTTAAATTATTCCATTTTAATCACTAATACAGCAGATATAGAAATAACTGATATAAACCAAAGTTCTTTGAGTTCTCAATCATTCTTAAAAATGTAAAAGGACTTGAGACCAAAATGCAAATTACTCTATATCAAACAGTAATCTCTAATTTCAATAATTGGAAGAGAAATCAATCATTTAGAAGAACTGTGCTAAGACAGCAACTTTTAAGATCTTACTCTAAACAAACATGTACGTTTTATTTATGTACTTTTTGAAGCTATAGATACAAAAATATCTCCAAATACCAACGCAAGGGTCCTCTTTGTAGACTTCAGTTCAGCATTCAATACCATCATTCCAGACACTGTTCTAAGTAAATTAAACCAACTCGCGGTACCTGAACACATTTGTAAGTGGATCATAAGCTTCCTAACAGACAGGAATCAGCAGGTGAAACTATGCGGAATCACATCCGATACCTGTACAATCAGCAGAAGGGCCCCCCAAGGCTGTGTGCTATCTCCACTTGTCTTCT